GGGGAGGAAAAACCCCAGGCACCAGTACAGATTAGGGGTTGGTCTGCTGGAAAGCAGCTCCATGGAGAGGGATTTGGGAGTCCTGGTGGAGAACAATTTAACCATGAGGCAGCAGTGTGCCCTCGTGGCCAACAAGGTCAATGGGCTCCTGGCCTGCATCAGGGGTGTGGCCAGCAGGTCGAGGGAAGGGATCTGGTTCCTCTATACTCAGCTCTGTTGAGACAGCACCTGGAGTACTGGGTGCAGTTCTGGGCTCCACAGAGCAAGAGGGATGGGGAACCTCCAGAGAGGGTCCAGCGTAGAGCAACAAAGATGATTAACGGACTGGAACTTCTGTTATACAAGGAAAGACTAAGCAAGCTGGACCTGTTTAGCCTGGAAAACTGAAGATTGAAAAGGGATCTGATCAACATGTACAAAACCCTGAGGGGATAATGTAAAGATGATGGGGCCAAACTCTTCTCGGTGGTGGCCAGCAACAGAACGAGGGGTAATGGGTATAAATTGAACACAGGAAGTTTCATCTCCACATCAGGAAAAACTTCTTTACTGTCAGGGTGACAGAGCGCTGAAACAGGCTGCCCAGAGAGGTTGTGGAGTCTCCTTCTTTGGAGATCTTCATATACCACCTGGATGTGACCCTGTGCCACGAGTTGTAGGTGTCCCTGCAGGAGCAGGGAAGTTGGACTAGATGGTCTCTAGAGGTTCCTTCCAACCTCAGCCATTCTGTGATTCTATGACTCAATTTTTTAAAGGAAGACAGACTATGAACTATGGAGCAGGACTGCAGCTTTGCTAAAAGTCATACAAATTCATCTTTCTATTTGTGTCTGTATTTTTATGAGGTATTAGAAGAACATTTGCTCAAAACCTTCTATTGAACCTGGGAAAAATCTCAGGTCATCCATAATCAAAAAATTATGACCTTGACAGATTTCTTTTTGTAAGAACGTACAGTGTCAATCCACAATATCATTTGGGGCTTTCTAGAAACAATCATTAAAAAACAAAGAACTCTGTGTAGCTTTCCTCATTTAGAGTAGTTATATCAATTTTCTTCCAGTTTTCAATTGGGGAAAAAAGGGAAAGTGGAATCAGTCTAAAGATTGCATGCTAGTGGGAAAAAAATATATGCATATATACATATATATAAAAAATATACAGAGAGGAGCAAAATACACAGCAGGTTTGCAATGGGAAATACTATTCTGAAGTACTGCAGAGTTTGCAGTCCACTAGCTAAGCTAAACTGAATTAACATGAGATGTTAGTAAGTGCAGCCAGCTCTCTGATTTTTCCAACTGCTTTGTATGTACCTGTTGCTCACTGCTGTACACCCAGCTTGGATGCACAAACTGAGCTCACGGAGCATGCAGCTTCTCATAAATCTGCATACGTTTCCTCTACAAGATAGTCTAGAAGACAAAAAAGTATAAGGGTACCTGATAATTGGCAGAACTTGGCAATAATGTCTATGTCTTGATCATTAAAGAGTCTCACATCATCTTCATTCTGCAGGACTGCTTGCAGCACCATTAAGAAATTCTGGAGGTAATATGGGTGACCAGGGGAGCGGAGCACAGACCTAATATCACCATTTATTTTCTCTAAAATGTCCCTAGTAGAATTTTGAACTTCGACCTTTTCCACAGTTTCTGGCAAAGAGTGATTAAATTCACGCTGAAAGTCTTCAAGAACTTCCACAGGAAGTACCTCTACATCACCCTCTTCAGAGCAGCTTTGTCTATCACAGCCCACTTCTGCCCTAGCAGGAGGAGTACCCCAAGTGTGAGACTGAGTTCTCACTTCCAAACCATCAGTCAGCTCTACTGCAGTATAAATGGCTGGACGTGTCTCAAATTTATTAGAGTTAAGCATCACACCTTCACATGCACTTTCTGTTTTGGTGCTCCTTGTACCAAACACTAGTCTTTTGCCATGAGTAGTATCGGCTGGTAGTGATACCTGAACAATATCCACAAGCTCTTCTCCATGACATCCGTTTATTTCTTCGTGAAGTCCCATTTTCTTTCTTAAAGAACTTTGCTCCTCTCCCTGAACAAGCTCATTTTCTTTCTGAGAACTATGCCCAGTACAAATCTCTTCATCATCCTGTGCTGCAGGGCTTTTGCATATATCGGGAAAAGCTTGAGTCGACGAGTCCATCTCTTTATACACTACCTGTTTTTTTCCTTCCTGGATACGACGTCTTCTGGACAGCTTGGACGACAAGCTTCCCAAAGGGATGACTTTGACCGTTTGAGCCCCGGACTCATGGCGAACATCACAGGCTGAATTATTATTGCTAAAATAATGACTGACCTGTTCTACTGCACTTGGCTCTGTTTTCAACAAACAGTTTCTGGAAGAGCTTGTTTCTAGATTTGACCTGTTTTTTGAAAAATATGAGCTGGAATTACCGTTCGTACTTGCAGCCGAGGGACTCTCATTCATAAAAGTGCTGTAAGTCACTTCAGTGACACCCACCTTGCCAGGCTTCCCTTGACACATTTCGTCTAGGTGCTCATTTATTCTGTACCTTGGCACCATATGCCCACACATTGGGCAAGGGATTTTGGCAGGGGGAACATTGTTAAAAAATGAAGCAATGGAGGGGGAAGATGAAGGCGTAGACTGTGTTGCTTTAATTTCCACATCTTTTTTTGTTCCTTTCTTTTTCTTAGTTTTACTGAGAGACAAACTTATTCGGGATCTTTTGGCATCTGAAGACCTCGCTTCTGCCATTACAGCATTTCAAAGCACTTACGCAGCATGGGCTGCTTCATGATGGTCATATTTTCTTTCTTTGCAACACATTCTTTAAAACAAAAAGGCTTTCCTTGGCTTTGTGCTTTCCCCCGTGATACTCCGAGGTGCCTTCAAGAAAAGAGCAGGAACATTTTGAACACAAGATCTACCAAACACAATCACAATCTATTGTGGGGAGGATCAATCAGGGGAGGGCGCAAAAAAGGGCTCCCACAGCCAAGCCTGGAGAAGGGACCCCATCCCAGCCCGCTACACTGCAGCTCTGTCAGCTCCTCACTGCACTGCCCCATCATGCTGAGCACGTGACCGAGTGAACACAGAAATACTGCTAGCCACGAGCTTTGACAATTTAAATGCCATCCTTGTTCCCAACGTGAATTGTGATAAAATTCAAGCATCTCGTGTTGTTACAGCTTTCTCCGGTGTCTCATTCCACGTTTATAAGCAAGAAGTGTTCGAAGCCAGCGACCTGCTTTCAGAGAGGGCCTAGCATGTGCCCACGAGGTACTCGCCCACAGCCCGCGGCCTCCTTGCACTGCCTTTGGCCGTTCCGGCGCACCGCGGCTGTCCCGCAGCGCGCTCCCTGCCTGTCCCGAGCGCGCTCCCCCGCGCAGCGCGGCCCGGCCTGGCGCAACGCGCTCCGCGCGAGCAGGGACCCAGCTGCAGCTCCGCAACCGCGCAAGGACGAGAAGAGCCCGAGCGGCGCCCGCGCCCAACGGCACGTGCGGTGAGCGAGCGATGAGGCGCAGGCGCCGCCGCGCAGGCTGCCCCGCGGCCTGGAGGGCCTGGAGCGTGTGCAGGGGGTGGGTAAAAGGAGAAAAACACCCCAAACCTGCGCTGAAGTAGCGATACTTTAATATGTACAGGGTACAGCGTGTATAAAAAGATAAATTACAGTTTAAGTTTATGAACAGAGATGTTGCGCTCTTTCTTCTGCTTCTTCTTTTGCTGGGCTGCATCCTTGATTTGCATTTTTACTTGGTCTTGCAGGTGGGAGAAGAAGGCCTGGGATGACTTCAACACCTTGTCTTTACCTTCATCCTGCAGACAGACACAACACTTGTTAGAAGAGGGCAATACCCAAAGAGGGGGGCGTTAGACTTACTGGTTACTTACACCTGCCAATATACTATTTCAGGGGCAAGAAAAATGCTAGGAGACTAAGTTATGCCAAGAGGGATGAGCAGAAAACAAAGCCAAAATGTTAAAACCTTTTTCATGTGGTTCCCTTCCCTCTCTCTCTCAGGTTACATGAGAGTACACAGGAGAGCCTTACCTTGAGCAGAGATGCTTTGCCTTCTTTAGTAAGCTTTTTTAATTTTGCTGCAGCAGCTTTTTTGCTGAGTTTTGTGCCTTGCTCTGGCTTCATCTTTTCCAGCAGCTTTTGACGTCTCTCTTTTTCCCTTAGTTTCATACGTTTACGAAGCTTTTTCTTTCTTCGCTCTCGTTTTTTGTCTGTGGGGGTCTTTTCGGCATTTGCTTTTACATCACCAGCTTTGTTCTTTTCCTAAAGAAATAAGAACTGTTTTGCTCTAGATTCACAAGGATACCAAAGGCTCACCTCTCAGGATTCAAACAGGTCTTAGTCTTCCCATCAATTTCAGTTGTTTACCCAGCCCCGTGTGATGCCATATTAAGGCAGAGCCCAAAACTGGCCAAAGTTGGAAAATGAGGTGTTGTATAATTGATAGAAGGCATGCTAATTACTCTTCACCATCCTCATTTAGCTTTCCCTCTTCAAATACCCAACCACACACTGAAAAAAATAATTACTTTTGCATAAAAGGCAAGAACAAGAAATACTTGTTTAAAAATCAAGATTTGGTATGGCCTGGCAAAATTATTTCTTTCCAGTGAAGTGAAATAAATAAAATGCTGGGTAAGAAGGTTGATGAAGTGAGAAACCCAGATGGTTAGGGGGAAATTTTCCCATGGCTCTGGCAGCTTGTACACTTTCCTAACCATAGCAGCGATCCCCTCTGGACCCTTACGTGATAGGTTTTTGTGTGTATTTTGCTAATTTGTTTGTTGGCTTACCTTGATCTCCTCTGGTGCTAAGAGAGCTGCATCACTAACAGCAACTGGTGCTACTTCCTCCATACTTACAGCTGGAAGGTTGGAGACTATTTTAACTTCTGGCACAGGCTAGGAATAAGGAAACATACTCAGGGTGATGTATACCATGTCACCTCAGCTTAGTTAATAGAAGAAACTAAATACTTGATTTAGTGGTAATTATAGTACATTTCTTACAAAAACCACATGCTCAATTGCACTCATAATATTTGCTATACTTTTTGATTCCCAAATGCATATTAAAGAATCCAGCTTCAAATAGGAAAAAATAATGAAACTTGCATACTCACTGGTTTGGGTATGAAGTGGAAATTACAAAGAGCGTCCAATTTCAAGAACAGTGAATCCATCATTTCCTGAATTTCTTTATGTTCAGGATTTTCTTCTTCTTCAGTCTTTTGCTGTATTAAGATAACGTTACTACGACACCATTTGTAAGGCTATTTTAGTGTAAAAATACTTCACAGCAAGGCTAACCACCATGCAATATGCAATTCATGGCCATCTCACAGATGAACACCGAGAGAAAGGACAAGCACTGCCATAAGGCTCAGATCAGAGTTAGCAGTGTTCAAACAAAGGCGTTTAGAGGCCTATTCTTATGTTACCTGGTGAAGTTTCAAGTATTCTTGCTCATAGATCTCAGCGAGACTCAGTTTACTCTTTTCATGATCCAAAGTGATACGTTTCTTGTACTCAAAGGCCTCCTCTTGCGGCTTTTCTTTTGGTACTACATCATCCCATGCCTGAAAAAGTCATGAACTAATGCCCAGATCCATAGATAGAAAAACACTTATCAGCTACTACAGTTCATTCAAAATTCACTTTTCATATCATGTTTCTGACACAGTAACTAGACCATGTGTGTGGCTTCCCAGCACCTTATTAGGTTCCACCTTCTCATCTGCAAAATGAGATAGAAGATTTATGCCTCAAGTCTGTGTGCTTAATTTCAGTAGGATTGGAGCAAAAATAGCAAGACAAGTAATAAAAGACTTGTTTTTTCAGTAATTTTCTTAGGAACTTTCCCCATACATGCAGACATATTTTGTTTCCACTAACAATAAACCTCAATGACCCTTGTGACCTATTTTTTTGAATTTTAAAGAAAATTAAATAATTTAATTTCAATTATTATTCAGAATGATCAACATTAAGGAGCTACACAATCATGTCAAGAGACAAATTTTACAGATTGGCAACACATTCCAAGTGAACTTTTTATAATTTCATCTCTAAAAATTCTCTTTTTTAAAGTAAAACCTAGTACAACATATATGTAAAACAGAGCAGATCAAGAATCTAAAGACACATTAGTCCAATTAGGAGGAAAAACAAAAACAAGCCAACAAAGAAAAGTTCCAGAAATAAATCAAGACAACTCTAAACACACTTTAAGAGCTTCAAACTCAGCTTTGGAATGTGCCTTTGTATCAAGTCTATGCTTAAAATAGAGAGGAACAAATAAGATAATGTTAACCTCATCCAATATTCGTTGCTTAATGATGTCTTCAAGCTTGAGGGTAGTTTCTTCTGTGATCACAGGAGCTAAGAGCAGAGACAGAGGAATTAAGATTAATGTCTCCCCAATAAGAAATTTCATACAATACTTTTGTACTATCAGGAATAAAAACAGAAAATGAAAACAAATCCTTAATAAAACCATATCAATCAAAAATTATTAAACCAGAGATAGGTAAGGAAGTCATGTTTTTCCCACTTTCATCTCTCTTCAATGCGTAGAAAAAGTTAATCATATTATGTAAGGCTTTGAAAGACAGAAGCGTCCACTGAACTGATGTACTTTCAGATAAGCTAAAACTGAACCAGTAGGACTTCCTATAATTTCCACAAAGCATATTCACAGTCTCAGAAATGCACCGAGAAGCTTAGTTTTTACATTATCCTGCTCTATTTAATAAGTTCAGAGGGAAGAAAACCCACAATAGCATGCCACACACTTCCTGAGAACCACTGTCAACACTTACCCATTCGGACTGCGTGGTCAAAGAGTAATGTCTCCTCCAAAAGGCTGTTTTCAGGTCTTTTTTGTGCAGACACTTCTCCTTTAAGCTGCCAAGGTTTCTCCTCTAACAACTCATCTTCTAAACTTCTTATTTTTGCACTCATCTGAAAAATACAATTTCCTAAAATCTTAAATATGCAGAGTTCACAAGTAAACTCCAAAAAATAATTTTTTTACTTCAGGTGCTTCTAGTTTTAAGGAGACAAAACTACTTCCACATTCTTCCTCTTTTCTGCCAGAGCTGGAACAAACTACACAGTCATTAAAAAAAAAATGCCACCCACTGCTTCAAAGTGATAAAACAATTACCTTTTCCTGTCTCTTCTCAAAAGATGACTTGATTTCAGAGGGATCGATGCTCCTTTCTGATTGCATGTCAATATTATCTTCTATTTCACTATCATCCGGCAAACTAAAAGTTACTTTTTTGGAGGTTTCTTTACTTGTCATATTCTCTGTCAGTAACTCATCAGCTTCTTCAGCCCTTTTAATATAAAAATAAGATAAATGTTAAAAACCTGCTACTATTTTAGCATGATGTTTTAGCCATTAGATGTTTATCTGTTACAAGTCAATAACTCACAGCTTCAAAGGTTTTAAGAAATACAATATACTTTCAATAAAACTTAGAGGCAGGGTGCTAGGGATACTTCTACATAAAATAGTAATTTTCAATAACTGAAGCAATAGCTATTAAGTTAAATTCAGTCATCGCAATAGATGATATGAATCCCAAGAGATGGGACCTAGAAGGTAAGTAAATAAACTACTTTTTGATTTGGAAGACAGCACAATCCATGAGCACTAGAGATATAACAGAGCTTGGCAAAAATGATTATTTTAAACAAGATTTACAGTGTATTCCTTCTACAATGCTACAGAATTACCACCACCAAAGGTAAACCTAGAATTTCATTTTGTTTTCTCATTTATTCTCAAGATAGTGCCACACTGCACTGACTGCAGTGAACGCACATACTCACTCGGACATGCTTTCCTCATTCTCGTTTTCAGCAGTGCTGTCTGCTTCCTCCTCTTGACCATCTTCAACAGCGCTAGCTACCGAGCCGTCGTCATCATCAACAGGATCAAAGAAATCTTTGTATGTCAAGTCTCTAGAACTTTTAACTGGCTAAGAAAGTGAGAAGCAAAAACACTTTTAGGCTGAGAAAAGGTATGCTGTCTTTTAAAGTCTTTAAGACCCAAAGAATGATGTTACTTGTGTAATTGAAATTACTGAAGAATTAGCCTATGGTAGGGTGTTAAATTAATCTCTTTTACAAGATATTCTACCACTTGTAGATGTTGTTAATCTTGGGCAACATTAACCCAAAAAAAAAATTTACTTGTGAAGCAAGCACTCAGTAATGTAAGTTAAATCAGTTTTCAAAGCCATGGCCTTAAGAAAAGTCACCCAAACCCTTGTGCTCTGCATCACACATCTCAGTGACCTATAAGGACCCAATGTCAACCTTTAGCAACACATTTTCCTTCTGCTACCTGTTCTGCAAGGTCACCTATTTCTGCTCCACAGTCATGCACCTGGACTCCATTATTCATGCAGAAACCCAAGATTCAGGCAAACAGAGACCAACAAAGCAGGAATATGCTCTTCTGTAATAGGACATTTAGTTAGATGACATTTGGACTATTTAATCAAATTTAACTTAATAGTTTCTACTTTGACTCCAATAATTTTGTGATACTATAGGATGTCAGATCTCAATTTAAGGAAATACAGACTTCAGAGACTTATATTGCTAACTCTTCAAGAAATACAGTTTGCTGTTATCCTTACTTTAAGATTGGTGTTTTCCAATTCTTCTTCCTCCTCATCATCATCTGAGAGAATGTCTTCAAAATAATCAATGTCTTCCTCCTCCCCCCCTGCATTTTCCTTCTCTACATCTTCCAAAAAGGCTTCCATCTCAGCTAGCTTGAAAAACTTGTCATCCACTACAGATTTTTCTTGTTTTTTTGGGGGGGTAGTTTTCTTGGTTATTTTAGTTTGTTGTTCTAGTTCTTCAATATCAAAGTCAATATCAGAATCCTCATCACTATATTTCTGAAGTTTGCTTTCTTTGGGTTTACTTTGCTTTTCTTTAGCCTTAGCTTTATCTTTTGTATAAACACCTTTCTCTTTGGCTTCTACTTCCATTACGTCTTCTTCCAGTTCCCTATCACTGCCAGCCTCTGCACTGGAGCTGTCCTCCTCCGGATCCGAGAAAAGGCAAAGATCTTCATCGCTGGCATCTCTTGCAATAGATTTCTTGAAGAAATCAAGAACTGCATTATTTTGGAGCTCTAGCTGTTGCCAAATCTGTTCTTCATCAAAGTTTTCTATCACCAGTTCTTTCAGGGGACTCCCACGAACAATGTTACTTCCCAGAGCTTTACTCAAATCATAGAGAGTCTTTGTTAACACTTTGAAGTCAGCAGCCAGTCCATCTTGCACACTGATGGTGGAAGAAACATCAAAAGCTTTAGAAAATACTCAGCAGGCAGCGTGTCATTTTTATTTTCGAGTTTGCACCATTTAAAATCTTTCAATCATTTCACACCCTCTGCTAAGTTAAGCACATGGTCGTGTTGCAGTTCTCTTCCTACCTGCTTAGGTCTTTTGACTGCTCAAAGCACCACTCAAAGATTTTTGTTTTTGCTTGACTCATTACACATCTCCTAGAAACATGTTACTTAGCATTCTTAGATATAAAGATACTGTAATTACTAAGTTGTATAACTTCACTGTATTTTATATAGAAAGTGACAGGTTACTGCAATATACCACCATTCTGTAATGACATGTCATTAATTCTTGAGCATAGTTAAGCTCTCTGAAGGTTTCAGGAAACTAAACAGCACAGCACTAAACAGCTCACATGGCCGAGGCCCTGGGCCTTAGAGGGAGCTTATAAGAACCTCAGTTTTTATATCCGGGCATGCCTAGGCAACCTCTTTCGGCTTCCCCATGCAGCTACCCCGCCGGAGACATGAACCTGCGTTTTCTGGAGCCAAAACGTGGCAAGGGAACCGGCGTCGCCGCGGGTCCCGGCGCCGCTACCGTCCTGCGCGCCGGGCTCCA